TTATGGTGGTGTAAATTTTCTATTTTTCTCTCTGCTATTGATTCTGTTTTATGGCTTTTCATTTAAGGGGCTGTATAGTAACTGCACAATGGAGTCTATCATAACCGGATGTCAAGATATAATGCAGTATGCATCTCTACTTCCAGATCAAAGATGGTCTCCCAATGAAACTGCTAATTATGTCTTAACAATAGGATGGTGGACTTATGACTTCAATATTCAAAAGTAGATTCCACAGACTGCCACACCTGCGGGATTCACGTGACCCAAGTCAGAAAGTTCACAAGGAAGCTTGGCTTCCATTAGTGGGACAGGATACCATCCACTACCAAAGTTGCAGTTGAGCTCTGTGTTACTTGACAGTTTCCAGAAGGTGCATATCTGGATTCCCTCTAAACGTGAATTCAAATTGGACTTAAGAAATTGTGCTGAACACTCTCAGAGAGAAATTCTTTATCTTCTAGGTATACATATTGTTGTTAGGAACTCCTAGAAGCCATACAATAAAGCACACACACACACGCACAAATGCCCTGGAGTTGACATACACTAGGAGAATCTACAGGCTCACATGTTAGTCATTGTTTGTTTGTTATTGTATATGAAATTGAATCATATTACAATAAAAATTCCATGATGATTAATACTTCATGTTGTATAGTAGGAAACTTTTTGGAAAACAAGAACTTAACTTACAGTTAAACATACTGACAATGAGAGAATTTCCACTGATCATGTGTGGACAGTGTATCACAGAAACTATTGAGGATTCTCAGTATGGATGTGGCTGTGAGAATGCCTGTACTTCCTAATATCATCAATGAGGATATTACACCACTAACTACCTTTGTGCAGTATTATTTTTCAATACCAGTAAATCTGTGCCTCTCTAATATTTATGTATTTGGGATATGTTCCTCACTTGTCAATATGCCAGCACCAATTTTCCATGAAGTTGAACATATCTGAAACACCTTGGAGAAAGACAGCACTTACATCATTTAGATGGCTGTATAATTTCATTTTGAAAAATATTTGGTATTTCCTTGGGTTTGAATATTTCAGTGAGAATATAAAATGCAGTGATGATAAAATATATCCACTATTCCCTTAGACAGATCCTCGTATCAAAACCAGAGCTAACAGATACTGGTTATAATGTAATATTGTGTATAATTTAATATCAGTCAGAAAAATAGACGTATTGTTCTAATGGAAGAGTCCTTGAAAGCAGAGCAGCACTCTGTTTCCACTTTAAATTGTAACCATTTATTTTAAAGATTTCTTTTTATTTGAAAGGCAGAGCAACAGAGAGAACAGATAGATCTTCCATCTTCTGATTCATTCTCTACACAACCTGATATACCTTTTCTGAGGAGCCTGCTTCCAGGCTCCCACATGGCTTCAGGGACACAGGACATGAGCTATCCTCCACTGATTTTCCTAGCCATAGGCAGGGAACTGGATTGAAAGCTGATCAAGGAGGACACAAGCCATCACCCACATGAGATGCTCAAGATGCAGGCCTAGCTTACTGTGCCTTGGCTCCAGCCCCAAATTGTATCCATTTTAAATGGTGATATTTACCAATGGAAAATAATTCCCATTTATATGCACAGTAAGTCACATTTTCTCACATTTAATGTAGTTCAAAAACTACAGAAATCATGCTTGCGTTTATAAAAAATCAATAGAGTTATGTATGAAATCTGACCGTGTACACAATGTAATCTTTCTTGCTGTAGTCTTAATTTTCAGTGCACTGATTATTTTATATTTTGATCTCCAGCTAACATGTTAATTAGGCAGGGTCATAAGTCTTAATAGAACTCAAAACAAAGATGTGGGGATATGTTCATTTTACCAATAAATCCTCCATTTCTACAGCACATGTAGTTCAATAAGGACTTGAATTAACTCTTGTTCAGTAGGATGCTAGAGCTACATGGCTATTACTACTGCTGGATTTGCACCCTGAGACATCACTAAGAAATGAGGGTAGGCAGCAGCTATGGCACTGGAAAATATACCCTCCAAAGCCAAGACCACAAACTGCTTTTCCTCCTAGCTTGGCTCAGAGGGGAACCCAGGACATCAGTGTTAAGACAGTGGAAAAAAGTTGGATATACAATAGAGGGTAGAATTTCTGCTTATAGCCATCAAGGGGACTGACAATTCTTGACCCCACAAACAATTGTAATGCCACGTATACCTTCAATAGCAAAATGTGCTGATGCCATAAAAGCACAATATTTGTGCTTTTAAAAGTTACTGTATTTTTGGAAGAACAATTTGATTCTGTGATATTTAAGTGGAGTCTGTTCTCCATGCTGTAGTACTCCATTCCCCAGTTTTATGGATACAAAATTCTACTAGAAAGAGCATACTGTTAGAAACAAGAGGTTTTTTACAGACACTCAAAAGGGTCTTCATTTGGGGAATTGTATGTGAAACTATCCCTAAAGTAGGTTAATAAGGAGGTGTAATACTTTTCTTAGTAAGCATATTTCTTATTGAAATATGAACATGAACTAAAGTTGCATGAACATGTATAAAGCCCCAAAATTTGAATTGCCCCCAAACACACAGATACTACGTATCTTACTGTCTGGAGTTACCAAAGTAAAAAGTCCGACCAATTCCAAATTGACCATCAAACAACATAGAATCAAGAGATATCCTTGACAACACATCCATATAAATAGAAGCAAGAACAAAACTGAGCAAACATACACACACAACTATACACAAGTGAAATATACATCATCTTCTATATATGACTAAAGAGCATGCACAGTTTTAGACAAGCATATTACTAAACAGTGAAGTACTTGCCCTTTACTGTGCAGTAACAATGATAACCTTTAGACTTTTAGAGAGAAAAATTAGAAGTGGGAGTTGCAACAATGGTTGATTTAAGGTGCTTAGTTTTCAAAGAAATATAATACCAAAAAATAGGAATGCTAAGTATAAAATGTTAATCATATAGTACAGCCATAACTAAATACCATCTACCATGTTGCTTGCAAAACATAAATCAACTTTCTCACAGCTCCAGAGAATGGAAGGTCTCTATTAGGGTATCAGCATATGCACTTTGTGGTGGGGGCTTTCCTCCTGGCATGTAGGCAACCACCATCTCATTGTGCACACATGTGGTTTCTTTTCTTGCAGTCATGTCAACTTCTCTAGTATAATTTCTTAGAAGTGCATTAATCCCATCTTAAGACTCTCAGCTTCATGATCACTCCTTTTAAATTTTTTACTAACAGAAAAAGATTTTATACATTCCATAGGTACAGTCCCAAAAAGACAACCACAATTCCTACACTTCTCACTTACCCACTCCCCTAATAACCTCTTAATCTGCTTTATATTCAAAGAGTTAATTCATCAGTAATCATAATATTCAACAAGCAAAAGGTAGGTATACCACACTCTAATGGAGTATAAACATGAGCTAAAAACAACAGTCGTATTCCAAAGTGATCATTTCATGCCTATACATTTTTTGTGTATTCTATATTCATTGGCACATCATTGTCACATCTAACCTTGATCACCTAGGAAAGACCCCACACCCAAATGTAATACTTAAGTATTAGGGATTCAACATGTGAAATTTGATGGAGCATGATCAGCCCATGATAATTACCCATGATCAGTTTCTGTTGTGATAATATAAGAGTAAATGGTGGGAGGAGAAAATGGAGAGGAAGGAAGGATAAGGAGAGGGATGAATCCTTATACTTACAAAAATGTATTGTAGAAAAAACAAAAACAAAAATTTTAAAAATGAGTTTAAAAATAGCCCTTTACTGTTAAATGTTGCACAACAGCTTCTCTATCTTTTGAATTTCTTGATAGCTCATACGACCAAAGCAGACCAAATTCAATTCCCCACAATGAGTATCAATGGGCATTAATACTGGTGCAATAAATTCATCTAACACCTGTAACATCAGCATCCCAAATGAGCATTCAGTTTGAATTCTGGCTGGTCTAATATTAAAAGGGTCCCTACTAATGCATCTAAGAAAGCAATGGAAGATGGCCCAAGTACATGGTCCCCTGCCACTCACTTGGGAGAACAGAATGGAATTCTAGGCTCCTGCTTTTAGCCTGACCTAGCTCCAAGTTCCATTTGGGGAGTTAACCAGCAAACGGAGGAGAATCTTTCTCTTTCCCTCCCACTCCTCTCTCTTTTCTCGTTAACTCTGCCTTTTAAAGGAATGAATGAATGAATGAATGAATGAACCTTCTAATGATTTTTTTTTAATCACAATACTATAGTAGCATCTTTGCCAGTTAACTCACTCAGTGTGCCCCTGGGATAGTTGGCACCAATAGAGTAACTCATTGTGGTCATCAGACAATTCTCAGAGAATTTATTTCTGAATAAGTTCACATTCACAATTAAGTGGTGGTAGGTTAGGATTCAGAAATACCTTTCGGGTAGCATAATTCCATCCAAATTGCTACAGTGATATATGGAGCTGGCAATGCTACGTGTAATTATGGAATCTCAGTTCTTGTGTATCAATATATAAATACACACATACTGAGTATATTAATACTTGTATCTGAAAACACCTGGAAGATGTATTACAGATAAAAACATTCTGAACTTTGAATATTATGTTTGTGGTAGGTAGAATATTTCAAATAAAACAAAAAATAATGAATGAATAGTGTACTTTGATTCCTCATTTTCATCATCTATAGATTGGTGACAAAAATAAGCCCAAAGTTTATCAGGCATGAACACATGAACACACACGTGTTTTATATATATATATATGTTATATTATATATATATATATATATATATATATATATGTAATTTCCTGATTCTTCAGATCCAAGTTATCCAAGAAATAAATGTTCAGGTCATTTCGGCAAATGATGGAGTTAGAATATACAGGAAGTTAACCATAGTAATTTTAACATTATGGTTCATATATTATGGCTCATACATTTTCTGTTTTTTCTCTTTTTAGGTCACAAGAAGTATGTGAAATATAGTCTAGGTTGGACCAGGATGAAGCCACCTTCCCAGAATCCCACCTAGCTCTCCCATAGAGATGTCAGAGACTCATGTATGGATCCGTACTGACTTGTTGCCTCATGCATTGATCCATCATCACCTGTTGCCACCCAGGGCACACATTAGCAAAAATTTGGATGGCAAGTGGAACAGGGATTCAAACCTAGGCACAGTGATGGGGGATGTGGGCCTCCCAACCACTGGCATAAGCACATGCCACAGTGCATGCCCCAACCTGGGGAGTTTAGAACATTTTCAAGCTTTCATAAACTGGCACTAGAACCCAGGCCTGATGAACACCAGCTCTGTGTGCTCCTCATGAATTACTCAAGCTGCCATTTCAAAAGGAAGAAAGGAAGGAAAGAAGGAAGGAAGGAAGGAAGGAAGGAAGGAAGGAAGGCAGGCAGGCAGGCCTGATGCCTAGGGAGGAGCTGACACCATCTTATCACAGGGGTCCTGAGGGTGGAATGCTACCTATGTGAATGGATCACACATTCCTTGTCTAGAACCCCTTCCTGTTCCTGAGGCCCTGGGAGGATTGCAAACTGGAGATGTGAGGCAAAGGTGTAGCTTGTGCAGACCACAGAGTGCTTGGCTGTTGGAGCCGAAGCTGGATAAGCTGGGTAGGCTGGGCCCACATGGTGGGGGTTCACTGAGGGAAGATGAGGTGGGCCGCGTTGGAGGGTGTTTTTCAGATAGGATTTCTATTAGCTTTGCCAATAACACTGCCATTACCTGGGACTCAATGTTCCATCCAGGGGCTATCTTTGGCTCTGGGCCTTGGTTGCCAAGCAACAGCCTGCCTCTGAGCTCAGAGCGTGATTCAGGGGAAAGTGGTCTGGGCAGCTGTGTCCATAGCAACCTGGAGAGGGGATGACAGAGCAGGTTGGGAGGCAGTTTGGAAGCCCTGCAGGTCTGAGAATACAGGGTTTGAACGGGCTGCTCTTCAGTGTGGACGTGTCAGCCCACACTGCAGGGACATTTCAGCCCACACTGAAGGAACGTGTCAGCCCACACTGAAGAGAAAAGAGGGGATGAGGGGGAGGATCAGTCAACAAAATGTGGATGATCAAGATACGCATGCTAGGCATTTAGTGTAAATGGGAATTTTCCAGAGTTGAAAAACACTCCCCAAACTGTTTCATGAACTACTCTGAATAAAAACAGCTCTTTTCACATTTGAAAATTAGTTCTCTAGTTTTAGTAAAAAAGAACCAGAAGCAAATTGGAGAAAGATGTTCCATTTCTGGCTGCATCAGGGTTACAGTTCAAGAATCCCCGATGAGGACCCTGCAAGAGTGGTAGGGAGGACACTGGGTCCTGGGCTTAATTATTTCGACACAGCCATCTGGAGTTTCCCACTCATTGTATCCCTCTAGTCAGCACTTCAGGCATCTCTAAGCCCCATACAGGAAGCCCAAGCCTGCCCTGAAATGGAGAGAAGGCTGCCCTTGTGGCATTTGTGTGTGTGTGTGTGTGTGTGTGTGTGTGTGTGTGTACAAATAAGTTTGTTGTGTTTCAGTCATAGAAATACAGACATATAAGACAATAACACACACATGCCTATGCCTGAGCAAGTATAGAAGCCCTCCACCCCAAACTGTGTATTTTCTAAATACTTAAAATTCCAAGTGTTTGTGTGTGTTTGTGTGTGTGACAAAAATTGTTGGTGATCAGTTTTAGGCAAATCCTAATAACCCTCTTTATGACCAGTGTTTCCTTTTTGGACCCTTTTTTGGCATCCTTAAGCCGTTCTCTTTTTTTAAGATGTGTTTCATTTATATGAAAAATCATTTATACATAGAGAAGAGACAGAGGTAGGATCCCAGCACATGCAAGGTGAGGACTATAGCACTAGGCAATCGGGCAAGGCCCACCTTAAGCCATTCTTAACGCACACCCTTGCTGAGGAAACTCCCCCCACGTTGATATCTGATTATCCATACTAACAGATTCAGTTCCTCAGCCCTCATCCTTCATACTGCGAACCATTGCCTGCCTTGAGCAAAACTCCTGTTAAATCAACTTAGTAAGAATCCCTTTGCCTTTGTTTTTTTTTTCTCTTAGAAGTTTTCCACCCACTGACACCCTCTGTTTTGTCCTTACTGAATTTCTACAGTTGTCTTTGTTTTATTCAGAACTTCTATACTGAAGTGTCTTTTCACTACCAGCAAAGTAGCATTGAATGAAATCCATTTTTCCCTTCCTTTAACTAGTGCCTAGCTCTGTTTCTCTCTGACACATGCTTATTTCTCTGTCAATTCATTAGCAAATTTATTTTATCCTTATTATTACTTTTTCTCTCTTTTTAAAAATATTTTTTTATTTTCCTATTCCTTGATATAATTCTATGGACTCTCAGATTTCCCTTCCTTTCTCCCTGAATCCTCATCCCTCACAAATTCTGCCCTATTTTTACAATAGTATACTCCCTCACAATCAGTCATAAGTCCATTACTCCTCTATTTAAGTGTATCCTGACTTTGTAGGCATGGACGTTGGCAAAGAGCCCAGCATCCTATTGTCAAGATTTATTCAACAGTTTCATTGGGAGCCCATCTTTGATTTGAAATTAGAGATGCACACTGCATTGTATCTTCATATTTGTATGTTACAATCTCTACAAGTTGCCATAGATCCAGAAAAAAGTCATAAAGCAAAACCAACAGGGAGAAAATAGAAAATTTAAAACAATATGAAGTTAAATAACATGCTACTGATTGACCAATGTGCTGCTGAGAAAATGAAAGATCTTCCAAAAGCAAATGATGCTGTTGTATGACTCATGAGTCAATGTGAAAATTAATAAGAAAAAAACAAAAATTTTTTAAATGAATGAAAATAAAAACAAAAATATTAAACCACCTGAGATGTGGCAAAAACAGTATTTGAAAGGCTAATGATCTCATATATTGCATGAAGGTTGCCTTATACCAGACAGAAAATATGATATTTTTCTTTTAAGTTTGACTTGTTTCACTGAACATTCACTGGTCTTGTTTCAAGATCATTTTGTTGCAAATGGTAGAAGGTTCAGTACTATTACTGTCGATTGAGTAGACAAAAAACAATTCCTTTGGATATAAACCCAGATGTGAGACAGCTGGTCATATGGCAATAGCCTACACCCCCACCAATAATGAAAGAGGGTACCTTTCTCCCCACATCCACATCAGCAGATGCTGTTGGTAGAGTTATGAATGTAGGCCAATTCCACTGGAGTTAGGTAGAACCACAAGGTGGTTTTCACTGTATTTCCCTGACATCTATGGAGCCTGAGAATTTTTTTTTCATATGTCTATTAGCCAGTTGAATTTGTTCTTTTGAAAAATATCCATTCATGTCCTTCATCCATTTCTTTACAGGGTTTTTTTGTTTTGTTTTTGCTGAGATTCTGAAATTCTTTGTAAAACCTGACTATTACCAGGATATATAAACCATCTGCTGTGTAGTGTGCAAAATTTTTCTCCCATTTCGTTGGTTGCTTCTTCACTTTGCTGATCATCTTCTTTGCTCTACAGCAGCCTCTCAGTTTGATGTAGTCCATTTAGCAGCACATTATTCAGTCTCCAGGTATTAACATGTCTTCTAGGATATTTTGATATGTTGGTCCTCAATTTCACTTCATAATGATCTGAGAAAATACATGGTATAATTTTGATATATATATTTTAAAATTTGCTGAAGCTTATTTTGTGACCTATGACGTGGTCAATCCTGGAGAAAGCTCCATGTACTGATGAAAAAAAATACATTCTCGATCTGTACAATGAAAGATTCTGTAGATTTCAATGAAGTCCATTTGCTCTAGCGTTCAGGTTGAGTTCTGTTTTTTCCTTGCTAAATTTCTGTGCAATTGACCTGTCCATTGATGTTAATGGGATATTAGAGTTCCCAACCATTATTATATTGAAGTATATTTCTCCTCTTACATCCATTAATATTTGTTTCACGTAGCTATGTACCCTGGCATTTAGTGTGTATCCTTTTATTACAGTGATGCCTTCCGGCTAAATAGATCCTTCTGATTATTATGCGGTGTCTTTGCTCATTGATTTTAATGTTTTTCACTTCAAACTCTATATTATAATCTTATATAAGGATGCCTACACCAGCTCATTTTTCCTATTAGGCTGGAATATCGGTTTCCATCCCTTCACTTTCTATTTTAACCTATTTCTGTTGGTGAGATGTATCTCTTGTAGGCAACAGATAGGTGGGTTTTGTGTTTTGATCCAATCTGCTAATCTATGATGCTTGATTGATGAGTTTAAGCCATTTACATTCAGGATTAATATGGATAGATAATTATTTGGTCCTGTCATTTTAGCAATGGGTTGTTCATCGTTTGATTTGGTATTGTGTTGTCCATTTACTGGAAAGTTCTCCACGTTTCATTTGATCTTGGTAGGTGTTGTTTCTTTTCTCTGTCAAGAATATATTTTAAACCCCATTTGTAGGGCAAGTCTGCAAGAGGCAAATTCTTTGAGCTTTTCTTTACTATGGAAGAATTTCGTTTTCAAAGACAAGGGAAAGCTTAGCTAGATAAGTTATTCTGGGATGACAATTTTCTTTTTCTTTTAGAGTCTAGAAATGTTACTCCATTCTCTTCCTGTCTGTAGACTTCCTTTGAGAGGTCAGCTGTGAGTCTGATTAGGTTCTTCTATATATTAATTGATTTTTATGTGAATAGTTAAGGATCTTTTCCTTATGCTTGATTAAAGAGAGCTTGATTATCCTGACGCGTCCAAGATGAGGACTTTCGCTGCTAGACTACTGTGCCAGGCCCACATTCTTAAATTCTAACAATCAGCTTTCCCTTGATTAAATGTTGCTATTTCCTACAACATATTCCTTAAATTCCTTGAAGTCTCGTATGTGCTTGTCTTTGTTGATTGGAAAAAAACCGTTATAATGAGTTTTCTGAATTCCACATTCCCCATTTCCTGGATGTATTCCTCAG